CGAATGTAATCTTAATTCATTCATGTACCTCTCATTTACACGACTGTCATACTTTTAATTTATAACATTAAATTATTATCATTATTATGATAATTATTTTAAATTTAAAATTTGTATCTAAAATATCACAGGTAAAATATATATAAATATTGAAATAGTGATGATGAATAATAAACTAGAATTAAATGAGATTAAATAATAGTTAAACATTTGACATGAAAATTGAATTAAAAAAACTTACAAAAAAAAAACTATGGATTTTATTCATCTTTACAAAAATAAAAACGAAAATGTATGATATACAAATTTAAAAATTTAGAAATAAAATTTATTATTATTTATTAGAGACTAAAGAATTTTCATGGGTGGCGGTTGGAGTGGGAAGAAAAATAGAGGGTTAATTCATTAAGAAAACAATTGTATATTCATTCAAACATGAAATTCAATGATAATGATATTGAGAGCTATGTGTGGATTGGTTTTGAATTTAATCACAATATTTATTACAACTTGTGGAGTCTTGTTATGATTTTTTTTTTTTTTTAAATATCGTAAAATAACTCTTCCGACACTTATCAGTATTTTGTTTAATTTCTCATCCCTCCTTTCCTAAAATAACTTTGTCTTTCTCTCTTAAAGCAACTGTGCAACACTTAGTACTTCCTTCTCTCCTAAACTAATCTATCAATACTTCTTACTTAGTACTTCCTTCTCTCCTAAACTAATCTATCAATACTTCTTCGTCGCACGACTCTCTACAATGGTATCTCCACAATGGTATGATATTGTCCACTTTGAGCATAAGCTTTCATGGTTTTGCTTTGGGCTTCCCCAAAAGGCCCCACACTATGGAGAGAGTATTCTTTGTTTATAAACCCATGATCATTCCCTAAATTGGCCGATGTGGGACTTTCATCATCACACCTTCCCTCGAACAAAGTACGCCTCCCCTTAGTCGAGACTAGACTCCTTTGGAGTCTTAGTCATTTTTTACTGCCTTTTTTAGTCATTTTTTACTGCGTTCGAGGAGGCTTGACTCTTTTTCTTTTGGAGTCCTTTGTTCGACATTTGAGGATTTACCAATCTATTGGCACGACTAAGTTTAGGGCATGACTCCGATACCATGTTAGATGAACACGACTCTCCACAATAGTATGATATTGTCCACTTTGACCATAAGCTATCTCATGGCTTTGCTTTCCGCTCCCCCAAAAAGCCTCGCAGCAATGGAGAGTATTCTTTGTTAAATTAGTCATTCCCTAAATATAGTCATTCCCTAAATTAAAGTAGGGGACTGGGACTTTCATCATCCAACACACCTTAAGACTTACAGTAATTCCTTCTCCCCTTCCTTCAACTCTTACCGTACTTCCTTCTCCCCTAAAATAATTCTGCCCAACATTTAGTAAAAGTACTTCCTTCTACCCTAAAATAATTTTGCCCAACATTTATCTGTACTTCCTTCTCCCCTAAAATCATCCGTACTTCCTTCTCCCCTAGAATTCTCTCCTAAACCCTAAAATTCTCTCCTAAAATAACTCTTTCAACATTTATCAGTACTTCTTTCTCTTCTAAAATTATCACTTCCTTCTCCCCTAGAATTCTCTCCTAAACCCTAAAATTCTCTCCTAAAATAACTCTTTCAACATTTATCAGTACTTCTTTCTCTTCTAAAATTATCACTTCCTTCTCCCCTAGAATTCTCTCCTAAACCCTAAAATTCTCTCCTAAAATAACTCTTCCAACATTTATCAGTACTTCTTTCTCTTCTAAAATTATCACTTCCTTCTCCCCTAAATTCTCTCCTAAACCCTAAAATTCTCTCCTAAAATAACTCTTCCAACATTTATCAGTACTTCTTTCTCTTCTAAAATTATCACTTCCTTCTCCCCTAAATTCTCTCCTAAACCCTAAAATTCTCTCCTAAAATAACTCTTCCAACATTTATCAGTACTTCTTTCTCTTCTAAAATTATCACTTCCTTCTCCCCTAAATTCTCTCCTAAACCCTAAAATTCTCTCCTAAAATAACTCTTCCAACATTTATCAGTACTTCTTTCTCTTCTAAAATTATCACTTCCTTCTCCCCTAAATTCTCTCCTAAACCCTAAAATTCTCTCCTAAACCCTAAAATTCTCTCCTAAAATAACTCTTCCAACATTTATCAGTACTTCTTTCTCTTCTAAAATTATCACTTCCTTCTCCCCTAGATTTCTCTCCTAAACCCTAAAATTCTCTCCTAAACCCTAAAATTCTCTCCTAAAATAACTCTTCCAACATTTATCAGTACTTCTTTCTCTTCTAAAATGATCGTACTTCCTTCAAAACAAACAGAAATAAAAAGGAAGGTGGAAGCTAATTTACCCATATCAAAATTCTCAAAAATAAACAGAAAAAATAAAAATGTTCCGATTTAGTTTTACTAAAATGAGATTAAATTTGAAGAGGTTAGTATTCTTCCTTTTATTTTATTGAATATATTAATTTGGAATTAGAGATTAAAAGAAAAAATTGATTAAAAAATTGGCTAAAACTAAGAGGGAGGAGAAATTGTGAATATAATTAAAAGGAAGAAGGACAGTAAAAGAGACAAGACTGTGAATATTGTGAATATAATTAAAATGATGAAGAAAAAAAAAAAAGAAGGAAACGCATTAAGAGAAAAGAAAATATATAAAAGATGTTAAAAGGTATCAAAGACGGTCGAAAAAATAGAACAAAAAATGTTGAAGAGTATTAAATGGTTTGTACGAAAATAATACTATAACAAACATATATATAAGTATTTTAGGACTTAACTCATACAAAAACTCTAACGTCGAGTCGATTCGAATTAAAATGAATTGTTGTTTTAAGTAGTCATCCAAAAAACAATTCATTATTTTTTTTGCGAAATCACCTCCTTTCTACAGTTTACTTCATTACCTGTCTCGTTTAAAGATTCATCCACTATAATCCTATTTGTATAATATCTATTATATCCATATATAATAAATATTATATATTTATATATAATTTATATAAAAAGTGGGAACTTCTATTTAGGAACTTTTAGTTTGAATAAAGAAAAAGAAGACTGTTTTAACTCAGATATACAAAAAAGCCTATTTGACAATGTTTATCATGAAAGTTACCAAATTATCAAACTCTAGCGGGACCAATGTAAATTAGAGAAACAATTTTGTAGAAGTTCAAACTTGAAACGGGTGTCATTGGCTCACATAGGTTGACTTGGGACAGAATCGAACTTCCATTAAGGGTAACTTCATGACATGAGCCTAAGCTAATCAGGTAATGGCCTTACTATCGACATGCCTCGTGGTTCTGCACATGTTATATATATTTGATATGTGTGAATTGTTTATGGATCGATATACTTATGATATGTATATGTTATAACATGTAAATTGTATGATAATACTTATAGTACGATGTGTTCAATGATATGTTTGAGATAGCATACGATTAGGATGCACTAAACGTAATGTAATGATAGGAGTAGGATATGTTCATGAAATGTTAAAGTTAAGTTACGTATCAAAGTGCTATTGACATGAGAGATTAATAAAAACAATATGATCACATTCGATTGTAAGATAATATGATTAGGTTATGGGTAGAAAGTAATAAGATTATAATAGATTGATAGAACGATAGCGTTAAGGATACGTTCCTATAACAATATGATTAAAGTACGTTCATGTAACGATGTGACTGTGATAGATATAAGAATGTTAAGAGTATAATAAGATATGACTACAAAGGGTTTACTATCTATCTATATATGTTTATATATATGTTGTGATATGATATGAAAATAATATGAAATATGTTATGGTACGAAATATGTGATAAGTTGACATATTTATGATATGATATATTGTGATGCAATATGTTACGGTATGATATGTATATGATGAAAATTGTTATGTCTAAAAGCATAGAATATTATGATATGATATATTTATGTAATTTGAATGATATGATGTGATTGACATGCAAAACGACAGACTAGTATGAAATACAACTTGACATATGCATGAAAGATATGATAAATTAATAAACGATATGTGAAATGATATGATATGTTCGGAACGCTAGCGGGGTCATATTAAATGATAATAAAAATGGGAAAATGTTGGGACCTCATGCATTATTGTGTGCATGCATTAGGAGATACCCTTTACTCTTCATTATAATACGGACACACGTACATTACGAGACAGGAAAACGATTATTTGTTTATCATAATGCTGCAATGACCAAGCAGGAAGACGATCATTCATTATGCTTATCATATTGCTGCTACAACCAGACGATCATTCATTATGTTTATCATGATGTTGCGACGACCAGACAGGAAGACGATCATTGTATTTATCATAATGCTACGACGATGGAGAACGATCATTATCTTTTCTTCTTCTTTTTTTTTTCCGTAATATGCGAAGTGTGAAAAGGGAAAATGTCTTTTAAAAATTAAGTAACGGATTAGACGAAAAATCACAAATTAGAGAATTTTCTAAAAAATAGACTTACAAATCTTTAAGTAATAAAAAATTTGCACCAAGAGATTAGATGAAAAAAGTATAAACTTTATAGAGATTTTAAGATTATAACTAAATTTTGAAAGCCCAAATAGGTGCAGTAGAAATACACGAGATAAAATCAAATCTTACCAAATGATATGGACATACTAGGAAGTTGAAAATCACTCCCGCTAACCTTCAAACTCTAGAACACTCATACTATTTGAGACCACAATTTAGTAATCGATTTCAAAGCTTGAGAAGCATTCACTGATGGGCCCTTATGACAAGCCCATCTAACTAGCCCAATAGCCCATTGAAGTAGCCCATATAACAAGTCCATCTAACTAGCCCAATAGCCCATCTTCAGCTTTTGTGTTCATGCGGCCCTTTTGTGTTTTGTTTTCGCTTGTTTTAGTATAATTTTTTTTCTTCTGAAATTAAATTTATATATTTAACAAAACATGTTTGGTTGAGACATATTCTCCGTGATTTTTCTTCTATTCTTCGTCGTCAATCATGGCATCGCACCTGCTGAGACGCACCCTCGGAAGCCGCTCGGGTCAGATCTTCTCCCTTTCCTCCAACCTTACCTCTGCCTCTCCCCTCCCCTTTCGGGCTTTCTCTTCTGCTGCTTCTCCGATCCGAGCCACTCTCTTCCCAGGCGATGGTATTGGTCCCGAAATTGCGGATTCCGTCAAACAGGTATTGTTTTTTCTCCATGATCGCAGTTATGTTTCAGTACGATAATTCGATCGTGTTTTGTACCCAGTGGTAGTTTCCCTGGCAATTACTCGAGATAATTGATCTGAATTTCTTATTTTAACGTTTATTCGTATAGTGTTTCGGGGTATTTGTGTGTTCAATTTTGTGGTAATTTGTTTCTTTGGATCATGTCGTTGGTTTTTGTGTTTCTGTCGTGAGATGGTGATTCTAGAGTGCTGCCGTTTCGTTCTCAAGTGTTAAATGCACTTGACAATCGCAACTCATTTTTTATACATAATAAGAGGAAAAGTCCTTGCGTCTATAATTTTATGAACATGAATGGGCAAGGTACTTCTGGCTTTAAGTGATATTTATGGTGTTGTATGCTTTCTATTCAGGTATTCACAACTGCTGAAGTGCCAATTGAATGGGAAGAACACTACGTCGGGGACCAAATAGATCCCCGAACGCAAAGTTTTCTTACATGGGAAAGCTTGGAATCAGTGAGGCGTAATGGTGTGGGCTTGAAAGGACCCATGGCCACACCTATTGGAAAAGGGCATCGTTCTTTGAACCTTACCTTAAGGAAAGAACTTAATTTATATGCTAATGTAAGGCCTTGCTACAGCCTGCCTGGTTATAAAACTCGATATGACAATGTAGACCTAATCACTATCCGTGAGAACACAGAGGGGGAGTACAGTGGACTTGAACATCAAGTAAGTATCTAAGATTTCGATCGATGTAGTAGAAAACTATTTCAGTGTGATTTATGCGTACTGATTCTTGAACGTTAGGTGGTGAGAGGTGTGGTTGAAAGCCTTAAGATCATTACCCGTCAAGCAAGTTTAAGAGTGGCGGAATATGCTTTTCACTACGCCAAGGCTCATGGGAGGGAGAGAGTCTCTGCGATACACAAAGCCAATATTATGCAGAAAACTGATGGTCTTTTTCTTAAGGTTTGACTAAGTCAGATTATTAACGGTCCTCTCATCTTCATTTTTCACCCAGGTTTCCTCATCTGAAGTTTTATTTGTGTCTTCACTTTCAGTGTTGCCGTGAAGTTGCAGAGAAGTATCCTGAGATAAAGTATGAGGAAGTTGTCATTGATAATTGCTGTATGATGGTATGTATTAATTTTATTTTAAGAATCATAGCAATAGCACCCATGAGAAAATTAATTCTGCATTAAAGATGATGTGGAGATCTGGGAGGGTCAATTTAGAATTCCCAGTGGATTCTTTAGAATATATTACTGATCATTACTTGATTTGATGTCAAACTTTGGGATCATCAAAGGGTTTCTGTAGAACTTCAGTGAAATGGGTTTGACTTTTGTAATGCAAGTGTAAATAAGGTGGTAATGATCTTCATTGTGTATCGACTTTGTGCAGCTTGTGAAGAATCCATCACTATTTGATGTGTTGGTTATGCCAAATCTTTATGGTGATATTATCAGTGATCTATGTGCTGGGCTGATTGGAGGATTGGGCTTAACGCCAAGGTATTCATGCCTCGTTTTCATTTCTATTGGTGAGTGAGTTACAGATTATCTGACATCCAAAAAATTATATTATACAGCTGCAATATTGGTGAGGGAGGTATTGCTCTTGCTGAGGCTGTGCATGGTTCAGCGCCTGATATTGCTGGAAAGGTTAGGTTTCATAACTCTAATATCATCAATTGCCATGACTGCATTTTCATTCATTTCTTTGGTTTTGTCAGATATCTCTCCTATAGTGCCTCATATTTAGATTTATGAGCTTTGCTGTGTTTTCTTATACTAACCAACTCATATTTAGTCCTAAATTTTTTCTAGAACTTCAATTAGAACCACAGGGTTTAGCGGTGTCTATTTTGTTCCTTCTATCAATAATCTTGACAAGTGATAACATGCCAACCTTGGAGACCTATGTGACTAATAGATGGCCTTTTTGACATCAAAATGTTTGATACTATTGGCTATAATAGATTAAAAGATTTAGAGTCATCATAAGTTGCACATTTTCAAATATTATTATCATCTTGAAGTGGAGAGATGATTAAGAAAAAGTGGGTAGAAAAATGAAGTGCAGAGAGGGAGTAGCAAGAGAAAATGTTACTTGTTATGTATTTATCATTTTGTAAATCAAAAAAGGTTTCTGGGAAGAAACCCCGTTTTAGGAGAAAAAATGCTAATCTCTCACAAACTTCTTTTAGAAGAATAGAAACAAAAACCCACATAGTATCAAACAAGTCAGTTTTCATGAAACAGAGAAAAAAATGAAATAAAAAGAAGGTATAGAAAAGAGTGGATGAAGAGTGAATTCTTTTCTTTTTAGCACAGTTTTTTATTTTTTGAATACCAATATACCCTTGATAGGTAGCCCTTTATATCTCAGAATTAGGTATAAATTCCCTTCATACTAAGAATAGAACAAAGATCTGAGGAGCACATGTAGTGTTCCTAGAAAGAACAAAATTACCAGAAACCATGTTGAACAAAATGACTAAAGAGGTAGCCTCTACAGGACATCACATATTTTCTTTGTCATGTAACTTCAAAATGAATCCTGTTCTAAATTTCTTCTTTTCTTTTAAAAAAATTTAATGAACCCGATTAACTCGAAGGAGTTTTCGTACGTTTTTGCAAAAGCACAACCTGTATAACATAATTGCTGATGTTGAATATATCTTTTGCAAACACACAATAAACACAATTGTATGGCACTCAATAAATTTAGAATGCTTTGTTGGAAAGTTTATTTTCATATATCTGAAAGCCGTGAAACTTCCCCAGAATTTGGCCAATCCAACTGCATTGCTTTTAAGTTCTGTCACGATGCTTCGGCATTTGAAGCTCCATGACAAAGCTGATCGGATCCAAGACGCTGTCCTCAAAACCATTGCAGAAGGGAAGTACCGAACAGCCGACCTCGGAGGCTCATCATCAACTTCTGAGTTCACCAATGCAATTTGTGACCATCTTTGAGGAATGTTTTTCAGGAACCTTTCTGGTTTCCTTCATATCTTTCCATAGTTTCTCTGAAGAGTAATAAGTTCAGATCATATTGATGACTCTGAGGTAGCTTATCCCAAGGGTGCTACTACTCTATTTAACTATTGATCGTTTGCTGGCCATCCAAGGGAAAACTGAGATGGCCCTGTTCATCTAATCAGCCATACATTGTCAGATGATTGAGATCTGTTAAAATTTATTTCTACGAAACACGGTTTCCTTTTCCTTCCCATTTTTGTAGTTTGTAAAAGACAAAAGAATAATTTTATTGACGTTGAAGTTGTGCCACAATTGTGTATGGCATGCAATAAATTTAGAATGTTTTTTCTATATATATATATTTAGTAGTTGCTTTGTCATAATATTGTCAAAACTAGCTCAATTAGTTTTATATCAATCTTGGATTAAGAGAAGTTAACTATGATCATGTTGACAAGTGGCAATTGACATCTATTTTTTGGGACATACTATGGTTTTTAAGCAATTATTCACATTGTTGCAATATCTATGGTTAAATCAACCCATATATGTCTTCGGATTAATTTAGTTAAACTTTACAAATTGTCTCGGACACACCTAAAAAATCTACTTATTTCTTTATAATTATATATTAATATTGCAACCATATAAAAAAAGTCAACTTATAGGTTGATTCTCGATAAGCATGCCCAAGTGAGCTGCAAAGACAGATGCTTAAGTGAGCTGCAAAGATGAATGACATTTTGATGCACATGGTGGCATCACAAAGCATTAGTGGGACTCAATAGTTGTCGTTCGACATAGTATTTTGTTAAACATTAGTATACCCTAGTATGTTTTGATAAGTGAAGTGCTCGAATCACATGGTAACCCTTGATAAAGTGTGTTGAGCATACTTTGACTCAATGAAGGGTTCAAACTCATTTTGATGAAGTCCCAAATCAACGTAGAATCCGGGGAGCTTTGTTTCTGAAACCAAAATTATAAAGTGAGATGCGACATTACATCCCAAGAATCTTAGCCTAGAGTAGAGACAAAGTCGAGTTTTAGAACTTAACCGAGAAAGGGAGGGTTCTAGTCCGGACTTCCGGGAATTATATGTTCCCATGGCTTTCCAGTCAAGGTATGATGTTCTACCTTTCTGCTTGATGTAGAGATGCCCATTCACAGAGAAAGCTTGTGATGGTAGATCGGAACAGCTACCATTGTAGTTGACCTCTCGGCTGTGTGTAATGCTGCGATCTCAGGCTGTATTTGTAAGCTCTACTGGCCATGCGTTTATTTCCCAATTGTAGGGGTTGTAGCTTGACACAAAACCATGGCTGAGCCAACTACTTGGCTGTTTCCTTATTTGAGATAATGCACTGGAATGTCAACCACCATTGAGGATTTTGTACGTGGAGTTGCTTCACTGGCAATATAGCTGACTTTTAGGAGCTTGAGTGCGAGCCTTGAACGTGTCACAATCGCACTTTTCTTAGCAGCGGACTTTGCAATTTTGCGACACTCCCCTCCAACACCGAGTGAGTCAAGTTAATTCGGATTCGCTCGCCTACGACTAGGCAACATATGCTCAAGACTCTGGCCCCACGTTGAGAAGAAGGTTTTAGAAAATGGGACAGAGAAATTTTCGAAAGAGAGCTCGAAAGCAAGATTGAAAGAAGGTTTTGAAAGCAATATTATAGGCTATAAGCGAGAAAGGAAACACAACAGCTTGGATAGCATATAACTCCGGATAGGAAAATTGACGATTAGTTGCATCCTTCTATAGTACATTTAGAGGCGATTTAGCTTTGTCAAGCCTAAACATAAAATACAATGGTAAGACAATACAACATGAAATCAAATAAAGGGTTTGGGTTGGCATGAGTATGTGGTCATGGACAACACGCCCCGGACGGTGAGATCCCACATCGGTTTGAGAGGAGAACGAAGTATTCCTTATAAGGGTGTGAAAACCTTTCCCTAGAAGACGCGTTTGAAAATCGTGAGGCCAAAGATCAAAGCGGACAATATTTGCTAGTGGTGAGTTTGAGCTGTTACATGAATGAGCATGACCGTAACACTATGGTGCGTGCAAAATGTGGCGAGATCTATTGCTAGGAAATTGGGCCAACAGTCAGTAGTCATGAAAGATCATTAGATCCCCAAGTGGTAAGGAATTCACAAGCTCTTAATCAAGTTACATTAGTATACAACAAATCATGGCTACATACATATCAGCATTCTCAAAGAGGATTCAAAGCTTCCAAAATAAATCAAATTCGACAGCAACCTATCTTCAAACACAGAGAGGGACTTGTCGGTTATACGACGAGCTAGCTCGTTAGCATGGCGAGCTAGCACGGTGGACAACACTAAGGAAAAGGTTCTCATCACAAGGAATGCAGAGTTTTGAGTTAGCAGTGAAATCAAACTCATCTTGTGCTTGATCCAGCAATGCCTTGAACAAAGGGTGATTCAGAAGACTAATTTTGATCACAAATCTTCTGTAATTCTCACCCACATAAACAACCAAGTGACCCTTTGGGACATCTCGTGGAATGAAGCAATCCTCGTGCAAAGGAGACCACAGAACCCATTGGCAACAGTGCTCGCAGGGTGTACAAGGCACCACTTTGCTCCCTAGCTTCCTCCATTTGTTTGCACATGCTCTTATAAACTTCCCCTTCATCTTTAGCTACTGAATCTGAGAGGAAGAGATGTAGAAAGAAAGTATGGCATTAAAGAGATACTGAAAGGTATATATAAGAGTGGATGGAGAAGAGTATTAAATGGTTGACATGATAGATATAACTATGAAGTGGGCTTAGTTTATGTATGCCATTTTCTCTTTCACAGTGCCCCTTTTCCGTGCTGTACTACTTTACTTCATTATATTATTGCATCTCTAAATTATACGAATTGTACGAACATTTATGGCATAGATTTGAGATGGAAGTATTTATATTCATAAATGGGGAAGCGGGAGAGATCGATCTGTCAAATGAAATCATGAAATCTAACCGTCTAACTCCACCGCCAGTAGATATTACCTCAATAAAGAATGCTTTATTCTACTTTCCAACCATTGTAGGATCTCACAATCCATCCGCTTTCGGGGCCAGCGTTCTCGCTGGCACTTGTTCTTTTCTCCAAGAGAACCAATCCACTCTCCTTCCTGGCGCACCGCCTCGTGTCTACCCCTCTTTGGAGCTCAGCCTCCTTGCTGGCACATCTCCAATGTCTGGCTCTGATACCACTTTGTAACCATCCATGTCCACCACTAGCAAATATTGTCCTTTTTGGACTTTCCCTTTCGGGCTTCTTCTCAAGGTTTTTCAAATATGTCTATTAGGGAGAGGTTTCACACCCTTGTAAAGAATGTTTTGTTCTCCTCCCCAACCAATGTGGGATCTCACAATCCACCATTTTCGAGGCCCAATATCCTCACTGGACACAAGGTGGTGTGCCAACAAAGACGCTAGACCCTGAAAGAGGGTGGATTGAGGGGTCCCACATCGATTGGAGAAGGGAACGAGTGCCAACGAGAATACTGGGTCCCGAAAGAAGGTGGATTGTGAGATCCCACATCGGTTAGGTAGGAGAACGAAATATTCCTTATAAGGATGTGAAACCTCTCCCTAAGAAACGCATTTTAGAACTCTTGTAGTTAAATTTGGAAGGGCCCACGGATGGGAGTGGAGAAGAGATAAGCTTTGAAAGAGGGGATGGGGATAACTTTCTTGGGTATAGTGGGAAAGCCACTTATTTCTGACTTTTAAGCTTTAAGCTTGGATATTGTCGAATATCAATTTGTTCACACTCATTGACCTCATTTCATCTATTCTCAGCTAGTGAATGTAATAATACTCTTTGGATACTTTTATTCACACAACTTCATCACTTATTACTCTTCAAAATCATAAATTCTGATATTTTTCATATTCAGCTCACCGAACGACCTCTGGATAGGCGTTACTCAAAGACCGCATGCTAAAACATACGGGCCGCCCTTGATAGTTCCTGCAAGTTAAATGGACATCTTTATATACGATCACTACGAGTTACTGAATCTCACCGATTTTAAAACGCGTCTACTACAGAGAGGTTTTTACACCTTCATAAAGAATGCTTCATTCTCCTCTTATACGGATGTACATGCTAAATTGACTCATTGATGTGTCAAAATCAGTGTAAAGCAAAGTAATAGAGTCATATTTGAACTGTTGCTCATATCCTTTTTATATTTGGATTGATTTGAGCGCACCATGAAATGTTTTAGTACTTCATCAGAATCTGTATACCTTTTATTATGAACAGAGAGGGGTTAGAGTACTATAGCCGTACAGATTTGTGCATTTGAAACAGTGCCTTATGGGATTCTTATCTTATTATTGAGAGAAGAGCAGAGCATTTGGTGCAGATTGTTTTGTGATAAGCTTGTGTGCAGCAGCACATCTGGGAGCAGGAGATGGGCCACTTTCACTCAAACATAACTCATACTTCAAAACCTTCAGTGATCTCTTACATATACTTTTGTTTGAAGTCTTGATTTGGTTCCTCTCAGTTATCAGTTCCTCGTATCTGGACATCTTTTTTATCTTCTTTCTCGAGTCTGTTTGTATATAAACAAAGAAAGCTGAAGATTCTCCTTCTGAGGAAAATGATAGACACCCATTTCTTAATACTCTTATACTTTGACTCTGTCCTTCTGCTCTTAACTTCATGATTTTGTTTGAATCTATGCGTGGAGAACGAGATTCCACGAGGAACGAGTATTCCTTATAAGGGTGTGAAAACCTCTCTTAGTAGACGTGTTTTAAAGTCGGGAAGCTAACGGTGATATGTAATGGGTTAAAGTGGACAATATTTGCTAGGGTGGCCTTGGGCTGTTTCAAATGGTATCAGAGCTAGACACCAAGTGGTGTGCTAGTGAGGACGTTGGGCCCTTAAGGGGAGTGTATTGTGAGATCTCACATTGGTTGGAGAGAGGAACGAAACATTCTTTATAAGGGTGTGGAAACCTCTCCTAGTAGATGCATTTTAAAATTGTCAGGCGGGCAGTTATACGTAACGGGTCAAAGTGGACAATATATGCTAGCGGTGGCCTTAGACTGTTACAAATGGTATCAGAGCCGGACACCAGGTGGTGTGCTAGCGAGGACGTTGGGCCCCTAAGAGGGGTGTATTGTGAGATCCCACATTGGTTGGAGAGAGGAACGAAACATTCCTTATAAGAGTGTAAAAACCTCTCCTAATAGACGTGCTTTGTGAGGCTGACGGTGATATATAACGGGTCAAAGCGGACAATATCTGCTAATGGTAGCCTA